ATGAAATTCTCTCTGGAATCCAAGGGGATTCCTCTCTTATTTCTACTATGGTGGGTTATGAACTTGGCATGTTTTCTAACTCTTTCCATTGCCAAATATCTGAGCTTTGCCCCGGACTGGTCCAGAGTCATCCGTATGATAATATCAAATCCATCTTCTGGAGTGCTAAGGAAGCGAGGCACAATGGCGCCAATGTTTGCTGGGTAAAAGAAGTTACTTCTGCTTCATTACAAATCTAATAAACGCAAACTAGAAAGGAAACTCAGCAGATTGTCACTAAAATGTCATAAACATGGGACGTATTAAACATGAGACTTATGGTAGAAAGCGCCCTAAGATGTGTCCTTCTCTTGGTAGATGTGGAAGCACTCAGAATGTCCCCTCCACTGCTGCCACCACCATACCCTACTGCCTGATGGCAAAGCCAAAATGCAGATGGCCACAGGAGCATTATGCAAAGAGCACAAATGTGGAGAATCAGGCACCCATCACAGGAGACAGGCTCTGGCGCTATCAGTGGCCCTCTGGGCTCAGAGCCCCAGTCTCAAGGCCAAGTTAAACAGAACTGTGTAAGCATGCAGACCTGACACGACTGCTCCCCTCTCTAGGTCTGAAATGGGTATGGGTATGGGGTGGCCTGTAAGAGGTCAAGGCAGAAATTGTGCAATAAAACTATTTTTTAATTTTCTATTTTTCACATGTCACTGGTAAAGGAATGTTGTGGGGCCAAGTTAGGTATCCAGGATTTGTGGAGGTGAACACATTAGACTTGAGGGCTGTCTACCTGCACACATCTTCATGATTGGTCCAGATACACAACATGTGGCAGGGGTCCGGTAACTTACCCAAGGTCATACAAGCATCAGAAAATAATAAGAACAATTAATAATAATAAACTCTCTTCTTAGAAGCTTCATTTATATATTTAAAAGTGTTCTCCACTTGATAAAACATTTTGTCAGGAAAAAGAAAAACATGAATTATTTTTTTGTTATTAAAAATATGCAGAGCACTTTGGCATCATAAGATATTCATTGTCATTTAACCTCTTTTTCCTAACAACACGCTTGAAGGGAGAACTACCAGTTTCGACCTCACTTGTCAGATGAAGCAACTGAGACACTTAGGCTTATATTTTGATGAACTAAACAGGACTAGAAAGAATGATCAATCCCATGAAAAAAATTAAAGTCCTATAAAGAGAAGCCTACATGAATTTGAATGCATTTCAAAGTTTTCTCTGATTTTAAAAGTTTGCTGTCTTGGTAAAAGTGTCACTAACTTAAATCTAAACCAAAAATCCTATGAATTCTAATGAGTTAAGAAGACAGTGTATAAATCATAGAGCAATATTCTCCAACTCAAAATCCTCTTTAATTATACAGAAGATGAAGCATGAAGCACATTTTCTTTCTCTAGTTTTCATCTGAATAAAAATAAAATTCCCATGGATTATTCTACTGTTTCCCCATCATGTTTCTGTTCATTTGTCACTTCAATGACTAGGATCACACTAATTCAGCCAGGCGCAGTGGCTGACACCTGTAATCCCAGCACTTTGGGAAGCCAAGGCAAGTGGATGACCTGAGGTCAGGAGTTCATGGCCAGCCTGGGCAACATGGTGAAACCCCGTCTTTACTAAAAATACAAACATTGGCTGGGCACTGTGGTGAGTGCCTATAAGCCCAGCTACTTGGGAGACGGAAGCAGGAGAATGACTTGAGCCCCAGAGGTGGAGGGTGCAGTGAGCCGAGATTGCACCACTGCACTCCAGCCTGGGCAACAGAGTGAGACTCCATCCAAAAAAACAATAAAAAAAAAACACGCACACTAATTCTTTTTTTTTTTTTTCTAAGTTGACTAGTATGCCTATGAAAGAAGAAAGTTCAAAATACAAGTAATGTATTCTTGTGGGCTGTTGCTTTTAAGCTGACAGTACTTAGAATATTATTTTACAGTCGCTCAAATAATACTTTTTACGTAAACAGGCACAAAAATTTTAGCAAATTATTATGTAAATATTCTTGTTGAAAAGCAGGAAAATGTTAATGGCAATAAGTGAAACAACCTATTGAAAACACTTCCACCAGAAGAGGTAAAATAGTCATTGCTCAGACAGTTAACTGAAAGCACATAAAACATAGTCAAGAAATAAGAGAAGAAAACAAAATCGTGCTCAGTCAGGAATAAATGCAATAGGTCCCCGTTCCTTAATAGCTCTTTCAAGGTCAGGGGTACAAGTGCAGGTTTGTTACGTAGGTGGAATTGTGTCATGGGAGTTTGTTTTACAGATTATTTCATCCTCCAGGTATTAAGCCTAGTACCCATTAGTTGTTTACAGCACACACTGGGGCCTTTTGGAGGGTGGAGGCTGGGAAGAGAGAGAGGAAGAGGAAAAATAAATCTCTTTTCCTTTTCTCTTGTGAGACTTCAAGATTCTTTCTCCTTCCCTTGTACCTTGAGAAAGAAAATGAACTTTTTGTTATCAGTGGCTCTGTACTGTAATTGCTAGTCATTAAAATCATTTGGCTCCAAACTAACTCCAGGCAATCAGCCTTGAGGTTTTGTGCAGGTTAGTGAGGAGCAGGACTGAGAGGCCGATAAGGGATGGGAGATGAGGGTACTCTGGAAATCATTTACACGGAGAGACTCACTTAATCTCAACACCTTCCTAAGCGTCGTTTAGAAAGCCGCAACCCAATTGCCCCACAGTTGCCAAGGAGGAGAAAGAATAAGCAGCTCTCCTCGCCTTACTCCCTATTAGAAACCAGTCTACACTTCAGCAAAAGTAAGCTTCCTAAACCATCACTCTGGACAGGCTGCCTCTGCGCAAAAGTCACCTGTGGCTCCCCGTTGCCAGCATAATAAAATTCTAAGCTTTGATGTAAATATGTGCTCTGACTTAATTCTACTCTTGTAAATGTTTCTGTCACACTTCCTCGTTTGTATATTGGCCACTCCTTGGGCACCTCCATGGCTTTGCTGAGTGTGTTCCCCCTGCCTAAGACGGTGCCCTCCTGTCTGCTTCATGACCCAGCTCAAGTCCTAACTCCTCCACAACGGCCTCCCAATTGTCCCCTTCACAGGCATCTCACTGCTCTCTAGGTATTTGTCCTTGCTACGAACTGACCACTCAGCATATGTTGTCCTGTTACACCCTTGATATCCTGAGATTGTAACTTCAGTAGAATGTTACTGAATGTAAGGACTATATACCAGACAATATTTCTCCTGCATTAATCATAATGCCTGATAATGCAGGAGTAACAATAGTACTATAAATATAGTACTGTGTGTGTGTGTGTGTGTGTGTGTGTGTGTAGAACACTTTGGAATATACAAAGCACATGCAACTTCCAAGGTAGCCATACTCCCAGCAACATAAACACTGGACCCCACCATCCCAGCCTTGCCCCAGGAGGCTCCCAAGCCTGTTCTCACTCTTAAGTCTTTGCCTTCAGTTTATAGATGAGGACACTGAGACTCAGAAAATGCAGTTTCCCTGTAAGTATGTCAAAACCTGATTCTTCTACTTAACCATACTGCCTCTATTATGCACATTCAAAATATTTTTGTGGACTTATGCCATCACTATCAGCACCACCACCAACTCCAGGAACTTGGTAGAAGAGCAAAGATGTGTGTGTGTGTGTGTGTGTGTGTGTGTGTGTGTGTGTGTGTGTGTTGTGGTAATGGCTGAGTGTGGTAGATAAACAGTGTAGCAGTAGCAAAGATATAAAATTAAGAAAAAGAAACAAACAAATAATAGTTGTGATATTTAAGAGCCTCCGTATGTTCTTGGGCAAGTCATCTGCTACAAATCTCTACCTGGTGCCCCCACTCAAGGCAAAGGTGATATAACCGGAGCCCCTTGTCCTTGGTCCCTCAGTCCAAAACAAGAGTTTACAGGCCTCTGAAAAAATGGTACCACACTTCAGACCATAACCAATACCTAACCAAGGAATATAAGGGTGATGATTATTTAAAATGCCACAGACATTGATTGAAGTTGACGCTAAAGTACTAAGGAATATTACCTCCTTTGGAATTGTTTGTAAAAAGAGATATTAAAGGGTCTGAGGTGCTTAAGATATATTTGGTTCTGTTTAACGTAGGAGTGAGGACTTAGTAGGCTGTTACTATCTTCCATAAATCCCTTTTGTAGAGTTTATGTGTGAAAACAATATGCAGCTCTAATCTTGGAAACTGGATTAGTAAGAATCAGTTGTGTAACCACGTGTGTCAATTCACTTAATCTTTCCACACTCAACTCCACCTGTGAAATGAGGAAACTGGTTAAATCAAAGAATTTTTACAATCATTTACGTGTGTTAAAGTCTTCACCCAGATATTATTGATAAATTTAAAATAGATCCTTCAAATAAATGTTTTTAAATCTAAGCTGAGTTTTTACTGATCTTTACAGATAATTTTTTAAATAGTGTAGGAGTGTTAAGCAGTATTTCATAAGCCTACATATAATTTTAATAACTGCTAAGCATAATTGATCTTATTCATTCCATGCCCAGCTATTTACCTAAATCTTTATCGTGATTTTTAGGTAGGTGGGAACCCTCTGCGACTCTATTTGAAAGAAAATAGAATCCCAAGAAGGCTTCCAGAAGACTTTTAGAGCTCTGCTGTGAGGATTAATGAAGCAAAGTCCCCTGCTATGAACTTCAATTCCAAAGGAATCAATGGCCCCGGGAAGGGGTGGAAGGAATTCCAGCAGAAGTCAGAATAATGCATTCTCTTCCCATCTTTTTCACTAACCATTGAATCAAGAGTAGTGAGTTTCAACTTGCTCTTCCTCATTCCTTCCAGCTGTGAAGTGGAGGTAAACATACAGTCAAGAACTCTTTCCCCATAAGCATGGGCAGAGTGGCTCCTACCACCTTCTATTTCATAATTCCCAGACTGCTGGCATTTGTTTTCTATTGCTGAATCCAAATTATCACAATCTCAGTAACTTAAAACAGAATATATTTATTATCTCACAATTTCCTTAGGTCAAGGCATGGCTTCACTGCGTCCCCTGCTCGGGGTTTTACAAGGCTGCTGGGCTGCATTTTCATCTGGAAGCTCAAACAAGGAAGAATCTGCACCCAAATTCGTTGAAGTTGTTGATAGAAATTGTGTCCTTGTATCTGTAATCTATAGGGCCCTAGCTTTTTACTGGCTATTGATTGGAGGTCACCTCCAGGTCCCGGAAGCTTCCTGTTATTCCTAGAGGCTGCCTGCAGTGTGAGCTTCTCCAACATGACTACTTACTCGATCAAGCCCACGAGGAGTCTCCAGTTCCATAACTCTTTTTTTTTCCCCCATTTATTTATTTTATTGCATTTTAGGTTTGGGGGTACATGTGAAGAACATGCAAAATTGTTGCATAGGAACACACATGGCAGTGTGATTTGCTGCCTTCCTCCCCATCACCTACATCTGGCATTTCTCCCCTTGCTATCTCTCCCCAGCTTCCCACCCCCCACCCTCCCTCCCCTATTTCCCCCCAACTGACCCCAGTGTGTAGTGATCCCCTCCCTGTGTCCATGTGTTCTCATTGTTTATAATCTAAAGTAGTCACAGAAAGGACATCCATCACCTTTGCCATGTAAATACATAAGCAGGAAAGTGCCATCTCATTATCTTACGCTATTGCCTAGAAGCAAGTCATCGTTCCTGCCCAAAGCCAAGGGAGAGAATTACACAAAGCTGTGAACACTAGGAAGTGGATTAATTGGGCGTCACCTGAGGGTCAGCCTGCCAAGCTGCCTTTAACACCAAAATCAACCATCAGGCCCTATGGCTGAAACCCTCTACTCTTACCAAGAAATTTCTCCCTCAGCATCCTCCAACTCCTTTTTAATCACCGTTGCTTTCAAAGTCATTCTGACTGCCTACAGCGAGGCCACACGCACTACAGACCCTGTCTGTTCATTCTGCAAAGCTTATTGATCTCCTAATACGAGCCAGACCCTATACTAGCATGGAACACAGAATACTGTCATCCACCCACCACATCACTAGAAAAAATAATGTCTAGTTCCTGATTTCCAGAACCTGTGAATATTATCACATAAATCGCAAAGGGGAATTTAGGTTGCAGATGAAATTAAAATTGCAAATCAGCTGGCCTGGAGATGGAGAGATTATCCTGATATACTCAGGTACGTTCGATGCAATCACAAGTGTTCTTATGAATGAAAGAAGGAAGCAGAAGAGAGAGTGTCAGAGTGAAACGGTGTGAAAAAGATTCAATGTGTCATTGCTGGCTTTGAAGATGGAATAGGACAACAAGCCAAGGAATGTGGGCAAGCTCTAAAAGCTGGGAAAAGACAAGAATTTGGATTCTTCCCTAGAGCTTCCAAAGAGGAATTCAGCCTTGACAATACCCTGATATAAGCCCAGTTATCCCTATTTACAATTTTTGACCTCCAGAAATATTAAGCCATTAATGGCCTGATGGTTGATTTTGGTGTTGGGGGCAGTTTGGCAGACCGACCCTAAGGCGACATCCAATGAATCCACTTCCATGTGTTCAAGTGTTTGGAAATTTGTTACCATAATTATAAAAAAAAGAATACTCCTAGGATCTAGGGACACAAAGATAAGAGAGGCAGGGACATGGTCCTTGTCTCAGAAGCTAATAGGCTAATGGGGTAGAAAGCATACAGATAACTTCAAGGAAGGGGATACGGCTACCATTCATCATGAACCAAGATCGACTTTTCAGCATTGCATATACTGTTCCTTCTGAGGCCGTTGACTGACCTATCACGGCTGTGGAGTAAGAGCTCTCCCTTCTTCTATAAAACAAAGACGACATGTTCTGCCTTATATATTAAAGGAAATACAAGGCTTGGTGTACCCAGTTCAATACTCAACTAGAGAGCATTGTACTAAGTGCTAGGAGCATGAGATACAAAGATGAACAAAACTGATCCTTGCCTTCAGTGGTTTTAAATCCTAAAGGAAAGCACACATGTATTCATAAATTTTATTTAGTACTAAGTACCATAAAAGAACTATGTACATAGGCCTTTGGGAATACAGAGAAGTAATTATTCTGAGAAAGATGAATGAGAGTGATATAATGTTCCAGAAATCAGGTGACTTGTGAAATGGATCTTAAGGAGTCGATAGGAGAATGTCAAGTACACAAAGTCAAGTAGAGAGAGCAGCATAAGAAATGCCTGAGGGCCGGGCGCGGTGGCTCAAGCCTGTAATCCCAGCACTTTGGGAGGCCGAGGCAGGCGGATCACAAGGTCAAAAGATCGAGACCATCCTGGTCAACATGGTGAAACCCCGTCTCTACTAAAAATACAAAAATTAGCTGGGCATGGTGGCGCGTGCCTGTAATCCCAGCTACTCAAGAGGCTGAGGCAGGAGAATTGCCTGAACCCAGGAGGCGGAGGTTGCCGTGAGCCGAGGTCTTGCCACTGCACTCCAGCCTGGGCAACAGAGTGAGACTCCATCCAAAAAAACAATAAAAAAAAAACACGCACACTAATTCTTTTTTTTTTTTTTTCTAAGTTGACTAGTATGCCTATGAAAGAAGAAAGTTCAAAATACAAGTAATGTATTCTTGTGGGCTGTTGCTTTTAAGCTGNAAAAAAAAAAAAAAAAAAAAAAAAAAAGCCTGAAAAATAAGAACACATCACATTTGAGAAATCTGAAGTGGCCCAGGGTAATTAGAGCCTGGGATACTATTGAAGGGAAAGAAGGAGGGGATATCAAAGTAAGACCAGCAAGGTTAGGAGGAGTCCGTGGAGAACAGGTCTGCTTGCTATGCCCACAAGCATGGACTCCTTCACACGGAACTCAGGTTCACATAAGGGATCTTGCCAGGAAGGGTATAATAAGCCCAAATGTGTTTTAAAGGGTTATTCTAATCACAGTATGGGGATGGACTGGACTAGGGGAGGTGACAAAGGAAGCAGAGTTACCTGACAGGGGCCCTGCCATGAACCAGGAGAAAAATTATGAGGACTTGACCTAACAACGTGGACATCAAAACAGAAAGGGAAAAAGCACTTTCGAGAGCTGTTTCTGAGGCTTGAGCCAACGACTTTAATGTAGGAGGTAAAAGAAAGGACTTAGAAAGAATTCTCTCCAGGTTCCTGCTGAGACAGCCCAGCGAGGATTGATGGGATAAACCCGTGCTGCTCAAGCATGAGGATGGTTGACGCGCTGGTTGAAACACACACTGGCCCACCCCAGAGTCTCAGGTGGGGCACCACTGCAAACTGGGCTAGGAAGGGCAAGGAAATAAACAGGTTTTAAGAAATTATAATGCAACTAAATTATGGGTAAAGAAACAAAGAACCATCCAAATTCCTTAAGGGAAGAAGCTCTATGAATTTAAGCTGTGTTATCTTGAAAAGAAATCCTCTGTCAAAAACTAATCAGGGTTGCATTAATTGGTTTTGTATTCTCTGGGAAAATGATAAAAATCTGGTGGTTACTTCAAAACTAGCACATCCTAATGTGGACTCTAAGAAGCTTTTATCCCTGTAGATACAAATATCTAGATGCACCATTATTTTAGCTGCTAAAACAAATTTTGTAATAAATTATTCATCAATTACCAAAATAACCATCTTATTTCATATAAGAAGGGGATAAGAAAAAAAAGGTAGCAAAAAGAAGTCCTTGTGGGAATTACCTAAAATTTATTTTTAAACCTGAAATTAAGAAGACGTTAGAGAGTTCATACTTACGCCTAACTGATCACTAATTTGTATTAATAATCACCAATATTTGTTTAAATTTCCACAAGCGTGTGCTGACCCATATGTTTACATTTATCTGTGATTATGCATAACAATTGATTTTGTTTGTTTGCTTGTTTTACTGTATAAGCAATAGACTAGAAAGTCAAAGCTCGAAGTCAGAATTTTACAAGAGCATACTAAGAGCTGAAGAAAAGCTTGATAATCCAGAAGCTTCAGGTAATTTGTCACACGAGTGTGGTTATGAGGATATAGTCCTTCCCCCAGGGCATCAAATTCAAGAAAGCATTTTAGAAAATTCCCAAGTATTGAGAGGTGAAAAGGAATACGAAAGCCTGGAAAATGTACATGCGGCTCTGGAGGCTACGTGGGTTGTAATAGGTACGAAGCAGCTCCTCTGCTGCTAAAGAGAAATGTAAATACATAGCCACCAACGTCCCGTCAGTGTATATTGAGCTATATTTTTTTAGCCCCAGAAACAACTTTGAATCGAAATTTTTGTTCACTTTTACCTGGCATGATACCACATCAGAGTTGTCAGGATTGAAGAGTAAGTTTTGTAGCGATGGAGGAAGATGTTTCCGTGTAAAACTAATCAAAACAAAATCAAACGTATGCCCTAGCAGATTGCTACTCACAGTGAAGTCCAGCGGCATTAGCATTGTTTGAGAACTTTCTAGCCCTGCAGGATCTCAGGCCCAGTTGCAGGGCTGCTGTAGTCAGAATTTGCCTTTTAACAAAATGCCCAGGTGATTCAGATGCGCATTAAACTTTAGGAAGCATTATCGCCACACGTGAGCACCAAGTCAACAGCATTTGCCAACTACAGCGTGACAAATGAGTGGCAGCTGGGCAGAATGACCAATCTCCACAGCCTTCAGCAGAGCTAGGGAAAGCCCACACGGTTAAGGCCACCGGGCCCGCCTCCTCTAGCCATGTGCTGGCTTGTCCGTTTACCCTCATATGCTGTGCAAACACAGGCTTGAATTTTATATGAGTACTACGTACACAAAGGCGAATGTTATGTACTTTCCATGTACTAAATACATAAAAAGTGTTAGGCAGCCAGCACTCTCTAAGTAACTAATTAAACAAGCGTTAGAGTGTGAATTTAATTTTGTGCAGTCCTTGATGTCATAAAACATGTCATCAGAGCGTCAAGTGGTTCAATACCAGCATTAACAATACGCACTGAAATTCTAGAATTAGCATAGCTGCTACTGTGTTTTGCAGACTTCCTTTGGTATCCTAGGAGTCAGGATGAAAGCTCCACCAACGGTTTTCTGAGAGTGACTTTTGGAATTGGTTTCAGGCATCTTTTTTTATCTGATGGGAAATGAAAGCCACTCTATTGAAATAGAAGATGATAGTGCTCTCCAAGAATGAGAAGAAGCTAGGCTTAGAAGTAAGTCCCTTACATTTTCTTTTCCAAAAAAATCCACATGTTACTTCTTATCCAGAAAGATTTTATTTTAGCATTCTTGTTGGAAAGGGAGCATCGCTATAAATAAAAGCATGTCAAATTCATAACTCAGATTCTTTTCAATGCAGGGCACTTCAGAACAAAACATTCTATGTGCTCAGCCACCTTCATCTCAACAAAACTCATATCCTCTACACCTATCTAATACAGTTTAATACAGCAGTCACTACCCATGTACGGCTATTTAAATTTAAGTATAAATTAATTGAAATTTAAATATCAATATTCATTGAAATTTTTAAAAAATTAAAAATTCAGCTCCTATTTTGCATTTGCTACATTTGAACTGCCCCAAAGTCATATATAGGTAATGGCTTTATAACAGACATATAGATATAAGACATTTCCATTATCACAGAAAGTTCTATTGAATGACGCTACTTCAGACTTTCCATATGCATTATATTTCTTTCCTAAGTTCCTGCAGAAAAAGAGACAAAGGGCCTCTTTTTGTCATATTACTGTCCTTTAACACAACTGACTTAAGTCCGGTAATAAAATAGTGAGCCAACACCCATTTATTCTCAAGCTCCTTCCTTCCTCGCTGCCCCAGGATCAGGAGCTGGTGAGACTTCCCTGACCACTATAGGAAGATCACATTCCAGGGCATATTTCAGGAGAAATGTGGTTACAGTGCTTTTCACCAGGCTTCATGTTCTTCCTTTAGAGTAGAGTCCTGAAGCATGCCCCCTCCATTCCTACACCACCCAAAATGCTCTATGCAAATGGCCACCATTTGAAAGAACTAAATTATATCTATTAGTCCATTCTTTCAACTCTCACAAGTATTTGCATTCATGAGAGAATCCCTTCTACAAATATGTATTGAATGGCAACTATTTCCAGGCACTGTGCTACACACGGAAGACAAAGCGATGGCAACACGCATGTGTTCTTTTTTCTTCACGGCACTAAACGTTTAGCAAGAAACAATGAGCAAGTGATTACCGGTGTAATAAGCACACACCTGGAAAGGAGCACATAATGCCACAGAGGTCCAGCCTAGTTTTCTGCATGAGGGAAAGCTTCCTGAGCAAGTGATGTTTAAGGTGAGTTTTGAAAGACAAGCTCCTACTTAGAGGAAGGGAATAAAAAAGAGAGAAATGACATCCCAGTGGTATCATTATGGTCCAAGGCGTTGAGGTTGCAAATAAGAAAATGGAAAGGGAACCAGTGTGACTGCCCCATAGAGGGTCAGTAGACAGTGGTGGTGATCAAGGTTAAGATTGAAAGTGTCACCATCTGATATACGTTTTCAAAGGTCACTGATTACAGAAGATAGATAGGAATGGAACAAGAATAGATTCACAAAGATTACTTAGAAGTCCTGTGCAAAACCATGGGCTGGGGAAAAACACAGAGTAGAAGTGGAAATAGTATCAAAAAAAACTTGGAGACAGAGAATGAACAAGCCCTAAGATTGAATGGATATCAAGAGTGAAGAAGAGAGAACAGCTGACTCCCAGATTTCTAGTTTTAGTTGGATGATAAACTGGCAAACACTGGAAAAAATTGTGGGTTCATGGGACCAAGCATTAGAGTTAAATTTGAGATCTGTGAAATTAAAGACTTCTGTGAAACATGTTAAAATGAAGATAGTGAGTAGGCAGCAGATAGAGCTATAGATCGAAATCGTGAGTGTGGATGAGATTGAAATCACAGGGGTTAATGTGATCACCTAAGGAGAGAAAATGAATTAAGAAGAAGAGCTCCCCCATAGAGCCTCACACCTGGCCACAGAAAGGGCTACAGCCTGCATTCTGAGAAGGGCAGCCCTGTCTTCATAAGATTTAAAAAGCTAATAAAAAGATCTAAAAATAGAAATACCATTTGGCCAAGCAATCCCATTACGGGGGATATATCCAAAGGATTATAAATTATTCTGTTATAAAGACACATGCACACGTATATTCATTGTGGCACTGTTTACAATAGCAAAGACTTGGAACCAACCCAAATACCCATCAACGATACACTGGATAAAGAAAATGTGGCACATATATACGATGGAATACTATGCAGCCACAAAAAAGGATGGGTTCATGTCCTTTGCAGGGACAATGATGAATCTGGAAACCATCATTCTCAGAAAACTGACACAAGAACAGAAAACCAAACACTGTGTGTTCTCACTTATAAGTGGGTGTCGAAAAATGAGAATACAGGGACACAGGGAGGGGAACATCACACACTGGCGTCTATTGGGGGGTTGGGGGCTAGGGTAGCCACGGGTGGGGAGATAGGGGGCAGATAACATCAGGAGAAATACCTAATGTAGGTGATGGGGGGATGGATGCAGCAAACCACCACGGCATATGTATACCTATGTAACAATCTTGCAAGATCTGCACATATACTTTAAACTGAAATTTAAAAAAAAAAAAAAAAAAAAAAAAAACTATAAAATATTGGCTGGGTGCGGCTCACACCTGTAATCCCAGCAGTTTGGGAGGCTGAGGCAGGCGGATCACTTGAGGTCAGGAGTTCAAAACCAGCCTGGGCAACATGGTGAAACCTTGTCTCCAATAAAATTACAAAAATTAGCCGGGCATGGTGGAGCCTGCCTGTAAGCCCAGCTATTCAGAGACTGAGTCAGGAGAATCACTTGAACTCAGGAGGCAGGGGTTGCAGTGAGCAGATATCATACCATTGCACTCCAGCCTGGGTGTCAGAGCCAGACTCTGTCTGAAAAAAAAAAGAAATAAATAAAACCTAAAAACAATAAAAAATAAAAAGCTAATAAATAAATTATTCCATTCAGAATCACCCGGGATTCTATCTCAGCAATCACACATTTGCAGTTGGCAAGATTGTTTCTCCAAGGTTTTCTGCAAGATTTGAAATATTTAAACACTTTCAGATCTTCACCCTGTCTCTTTGGCTTAGAGCAGAGAGAGCACTCATGCCAAACTTAGGCATTTCTGGTCCAGTGGAGACGTCGTCCCTCCATTCCTTGAGACGCACTGCCATCTGATGGCCATCACTCAGCAGAAGAAATCCTACCTTCTCTTCATTTGTGTTGGTTTGAAATCCAAACACCTTTCAGATTACCTCCTATGCAAACTAAGCTATTTTTAGCTTATTTTTATGGTATAATTGACCCTGAAGTGTAATTGAGCAGGAAGATCAAGTGAAAGCAAAACCAATGATACTTTCTCCCTCCTTTCTTCAAATATTGTTTTATGCAAACAGAATCTGTGGGGGTTGTTAACGGCAACAAGAAATACAGACGGCAGAAGTCCTCATAAATTGCTATAACACCATAGACGTTCCTACACTGATATTAATTAATATCACGTTTTAATTAATTTATGGAGTTTAATTAACTCAAGATCGTGCCTCCCCCCAACCCCAGCATTAAACAAAATTCTGCGCAACAAAATGTATTTAATTCATGTTAAAATAAACCAAGATGGTTGTTTTACTTATGGTTTCAGTATCAGTTGCAAGCTTTCACACATAGCCCCAATTTTAATAGACAATACTAAATTAACTCATATCATACTTTCTATTCCTTCCCACACTTCTCTTCTTACAGATGACATATTGTAAATGCATAGGAAAATTATTTCGTGCTTTCAAGGATGGCTATGTCATATCAGTGGTGTCTCCTATACATATATTATGATCTACAACCCTACCTAATGAACCAGTTTTCAATTTAGGCTGAATTTCAACCAAAGCAATGAACTAAGATAGGTCAAGGTAAAGAAATTGATCGCATCACCACTACTTATTGTCAGTGAACCACAGAAAAGTTTAGACACTTTTATTTTTGTTCAAACTTTCAGCTGCATATCACACAAAATAATTACATAGCTTGTGGTTTTCTGAGATTTCTCATTGACAAGAAACCAAACATCCTTTTGTCACCTGACCCTTAGGGATAATATTCATTTGTTTTAAGAGGGATGAGGCCAGGCACCGTGGCTCACGCCTGTAATCCCAACACTTTGGGAGGCCGAGGCGGGCGGATCAGGAGGTCAAGAGATGGAGACCATCCTGGCCAACATGGTGAAACCCTGTCTCTACTAAAAATACGAAAAAATTAGCTGGGCATAGTGGCGTGCACCTGTAGTCCCAGCTACCTGGGAGGCTGAGACAGGAGAATTGCTTGAACCCGGGAGGCAGAGGTTGCAGTGAGCCAAGATCACGCCACTGCACTCCAGCCTGGCGCCTGGCGACAGAGCAAGACTCTGTCTCAAAAAAAAAAAAAAGAGAGATGAAACTCAAAGTCAAAAATCAAAGCAAAATTAAACAAATGACAAAATCATGAAATAAAAACAAAGAACCAGTATAAAAT